CAGTGAGGGCTCTTCTTCTAAAATAGGCATGGCCAAACTTGGTCCTCGAGCCGTTTTGGGACTAAAACTCCCATCATCCCCAGCTAACAGGTCCAGTGGTCAGGGATGATGGGAATTGTTGTCACAAAACAGCTGGAGGGCCAAGTTTGGCCATGCCTGTTAAGGTAATGTTGGCTGGTGACAGACATGGGGAACCTCTGACTCTCTGCATATTCTTGGGGTGCAGCTTTCATTCAGCCCCTGCCATCAGGCTATGGTCAGAGAAGATGAGCCCAACCACTTCTGCAATGAAAAGTATGTTTAATTGCGAGGATTTACACTGAGGTGTTTTAATGGGGATTTTAATGTGCAAGTTGCTCCACAGAAATGTGGAGAGTGGAATTTTAGATAGGGGGAAAACGAGAAACTGGGAGAACCGAAACCGACAGCTCCTTCAGTCCCACAGAAGTTTCTTTTAAAATGGCTGCAGCTGCCTTATCTTACACACACACACACACACACACACAGAGAGAGAGAGAGAGAGAGAGAGAAACAGTGCCTTGAATTAAAGGGAATTTCTTGCCCAAATCCTTCTCAAGAGGTGATTAAGTTAGGGGCCTTTATTTATTTATTTCCTTATTCCTGGAGATCATTCACGCTGCAGTGCTTTAAGACTTCTGCTGCCCGCAGATTTATTTTTCTCAAAAAGAAAGAAATATGTATATATCTGCAGCATATTATAGATGCGTGTATGTCTGTATAAATGACTACAATGAGCCGATTTGCTTGACTTTATGAACCAGATGCCAGACCACATCTGAAGAACTGCTGAGCTAGCAATGTGTCACAGACCCCCTCCCTTTCAGTCCCTCTTCCTTGCCCGCCCCATTCATTCTGCTTTGCTTCTAATTTTGATTCCTCTGGCCTTTGTGAAACCTTTGTTGAAGGGCAAGATAGACGCATGTTTGCAGCAATTTGAGATTGCTAAGGTATGTTGGTATGATGGTCATTCCATCCTGTTTGAGGGAGTGCTGCACCCAAACTCTGGATCTCAGTAATATATCTAATTTTCACCATTCTCCATAAGGCACCTTGAAATATCTCTCCCATCTGCACAACAAGCCTGTGGAGCAGCAAACTGTTAAGTTTTGTTTTGTTTATGTGATTGGGAACAGAGGCCGAGGTTGCCCAATACCAACAATTGCCCAAGGCTATGCAAAGAGATCAGCAAGACTGTGAACTCAGGATTAATTTAATCATGTCCTAGACAACATTAGTGTCCATGACAAGGTATCTCTTAAGTGGGTGGCTGTTGCTTTGGTGATATAGTGGTTGGAGGGGTTGATGTTGGTTTGGCTGTAGGGGAGTGGTCAGTAGGGCTGGGCAAGGCAATGGTGCTTACCTGACCTCCCACCCCCAGCTTCACTGAGACTTACTAAGGAGAGGGGCAAGGCAAGAGCAAGTTCATGGTGCAAACGCTCCTGTGGGAAAACAATATTAGCTCCGCTGGTGCATTTGCACTGCGCTGGCCTCTCCACTGCCTCGCCCTCTGCAGTGAGCTGCAGTGATGCCAGTGATGAGAGATCAGGTAAATGTTGCTTCCCGACCCCACCAATCACTGCCATGCATTCAGTGCCACGGGTCCATTCTGCAGAACTGCCTCCCGACCCTCTTTGCTAAACTTCAGGTGCAGGACCAAGACTTTCTATTCCCAGCAAGGCATTTGAAGGTAGTGTTTGATGTTGCCTTGTTTTATTGTCCCATTTTCTGCAGATTGTTTTTACGTACATCGCATAGACAAGTGAGTAATTAAGCAGTACAGTGGAATTAAGCAGTACTCGGGTTGCGAAGGTGATCTGTGCGACATGCACGTTCGCAACCTGCAGATTTGGCAACCCACGTCTGTGCATCTGCGCACACACAGGTTGTGATTCAGTGCTTCTGCGCATGCGCAAAGCACGATTTAGTGCTTCTGCGCATGCTTGACCTCTGAAACCCAGAAGTATCCCGCTCCGGTACTTCCGCGTTTCGTCGGTCCGTAACCCAAAAAAACGCAACCTGAAGCGGCTGTAACCCGAGGTACGACTGTATCTAAATTATAATAATAATAATAAAGGTGGTGGGGGAACCTTTTTCAGCCAAAGTTGACCTTACTTCCTGGGGAACTTTCAGGGGTCTCATGTCAGTGGTCGGTCACATTCACACCATGTATTTAAAGCACTATGATATCACTCTGAGCAGTCACAACTTCCCCCAAAATATCCTGGGAACCATAGTGTTGAGGGTTGTTAGGAGTTCCTTATTCTCCTTCCAGAGCCATCTTTTTTGCAGGGTGGTTTAACAATTAATCCCTTGACTCACGGAACTCTATATTCTGTAGCTCTGTGAATTCTCCCAGAACTCTTTGGGGGAAGCCGGGGCTGCTCAAAGTGGCATAATAGTGCTTTAAACATTGGGTGTGAATGTGGCCATAGTGGAAATAGAAGCTGGGGGTAGGGGAGGGGATGACAACAACGTATGTGACTCTTAGTTTTGTATCGTGAGCTACATTCCAGCTATATGAAAGTCTGAGATTATTATTTTTGTTAGAGCATTTATTAATTTAAAAAAAAACCCCATCCAACTAACATATCAAATCATAATCCAATAAAAATAAAAAAATAAAAAAGATCAAATTGTGTTCCAAATTGTAATTTTGATTTTATGGCTTCCCACAGTCTGAACCTCGAAGCATATCCAAATCTCAGTCCTGCCTCTCATCAATATATCCATATTTCCATATCTTGATTTTATCTCTCCAAAAAAGTATGAGATTTTACACCCATCCATCCTTAGAATCATAGAATCATAGAGTTGGAAGAGACCACAAGGGCCATCGAGTACTTCCCTTGATCTAGATGCTATACTCCTATTGATGAGGCCCAGAATTGCATTGGCTTTTTTAGCTGCCGCGTCACACTGTTGGCTCATGTCAAGTTTGTGGTCAACCAAGACTCCTAGATCCTTTTCACATGTACTGCTCTCAAGCCAGGTGTCACCCATCTTGTATTTGTGCCTCTCATTTTTTTGCCCAAGTGCAATACTTTACATTTCTCCCTGTTAAAATTCATCTTGTTTGTTTTGGCCCAGTTCTCTAATCTGTCAAGGTCGTTTTGAAGTGTGATCCTGTCCTCTGGGGTGTTAGCCACCCCTCCCAGTTTGGTGTCATCTGCAAATTTGATCAGGATGCCCTTGAGTCCATCATCCAAGTCATTGATAAAGATGTTGAATAAGACTGGGCCCAAGACAGAACCCTGTGGCACCGCACTAGTCACTCTTCTCCAGGATGAAGAGGAACCATTGATGAGCACCCTTTGGGTTCGGTCAGTCAGCCAGTTACAAATCCACTGAGTGGTAGCATAGTCAAGACCGCATTTTACCAGCTTCTTTACAAGAATATCATGGGGCACCTTGTCAAATGCCTTGCTGAAATCAAGGTAGGCTACATCCACTGCGTTCCCTTCATCTACCAGGCTTGTAATTCTGTCAAAAAACGAGATCAGGTTAGTCTGACATGACTTATTTTTCAGAAATCTATGCTGACTATTGGTGATCACAGCATTCCTTTCTAGGTGTTTGCTTAATGATCTGCTCCAGAATCTTCCCTGGTATTGATGTCAGACTGACTGGGCGGTAATTATTTGGGTCCTCTCTTTTCCCCTTTTTGAAAATAGGGACAACATTTGCCCTCCTCCAGTCTGCCGGGACTTCGCCTGTTCTCCAGGAATACTCAAAGATGACTGCCAGTGGTTCTGAGATCACATCTGCCAGTTCTTTTAATACTCTTGGATGCAGTTCATCTGGCCCTGGAGACTTGAATACATCTAGACTAGCCAAGTATTCTTGTACTATCTCCTTAGTTATTCTGGGCTGTGTTTCCTCTGCTGAATCATTTGCTCCAAATTCTTCAGGTCGGGCATTGTTTTCTTTATCGGAGAAGACTGAGGCAAAGAAGGCATTGAGGAGTTCAGCCCTTTCTGTGTCCCCTGTTTGCATTTCACCATCCTCTCCTCTGAGTGACCCCACTGTTTCTTTGTTCTTCCTTTTGCTACGAATATACCCATAAAAGCCTTTTTTGTTGCTTTTAACCTCTCTAGCAAGCCTGAGTTCATTCTGTGCTTTAGCTTTTCTGATTTTGTGTCTACACGTGCTGGCTATTTGTTTGAATTCCTCTTTGGTGGTTTCCCCCCTTTTCCATTTTTTGTACACATCCTTTTTAATCTTAACTCAGTTAAAAGTTCTTTAGATAGCCACCCTGGCTTCTTTAGGCACCTTCCATGTTTCCGTCTCATTGGTATTGCCTGAAGTTGTGCTTTTACTATCTCCCTCTTAACAAACTCCCAGCCATCATGAACTCCCTTTCCTTTTAGTATTACTGTCCATGGGATCTCACCCAGCACTTCCCTAAGTTTTATGAAGTCGGCTTTCTTAAAGTCAAGAAATTGAGTCCTAGTATGCTTGGCTGCTCCTTTCCGCTGTATAGTAAACTTCAGAAGAGCATGATCACTCGCGCCTAATGATCCTTCCACTTCTACCCCACTAACCAGGTCATCAACATTGGTTAGGACCAGATCTAAAATGGCTGTTCCTCTTGTTGCTTCTCCCACTTTCTGGACAATGAAGTTGTCTGCAAGGCCAGTGAGGAATCTGTTTGACCTTATGCTCTTGGCTGAGTTTGACATCCAACAAATATCCGTGTAATTGAAGTCCCCCATTACTACTATCTCCCTTCCTTTTGCATGCTTGGCCATCTGTTCCAGGAAGGCATCATCTATGTCCTCCGTTTGGCTTGGGGATCTATAGTAAACTCCCACAATGAGGTCACTGTTATCCTTGACTCCTCATCCAGGCAAGCAAGAGGCATAATCACAGCTGGAGGACACATTCCAGCCAGGTGAAAGCCTTCAAGGAATCATAGAATTGTAGAGTTGGAAGGGACCATGAGGGTCATCTAGTCCAGCCCCCTCCAATGCAGGAATCTTTGGCTTAGTGTGGGGCTGGGACCCATGACCCTGAGATTAAGAGTCTCATACTCTACTAGTTGAGCAATCCCAGAGAGCCTGTGAGGTGAAGTGAAGGATGTGGCCTAGGGAGAATCCGGAGGGCCAGGCAAGGATCCCTGAGGGGCCACATTCAGCCCTTGGGATTGAGGTTCCCATGCCTTGCTGTGGTGTTTAAAAGTTACACTTAAACATGTAACTAAGCCATCATCTGACAGTGCTGTTCTTCCTATTTTATTTTATTTTATTTTATTTTATTTTATTTTATTTTCTGAAATCAAATTGGCTCTGAGTAATTCTGGGTGTGTGAATGATTTTCTTTTGTTGACGCTCTCTCAATAGTTGTGGTCATCCTTAAACAAATGAAAACAAAACCCTATTTTCTTTTGCACTGCTTGTGAACAATGGCAACCCATCACACATTTTCTACACATTTCTCAGGCAGACAGTTGCAAATTATGGCTTGTTTGCATGTTACCATGTCTCAGTTCATAAGAATTACTAATAACAAGGGCCAGATGTTCTCAAACTCCACATGTTTACTGTTACACATTTGAGAAGGACCACTGAAATCAATAAGCCTTCTCATGTTATTTTAATTACCATATATTTTTAAAAGAAATTAAATCTATAATTGCCTAACTAAACTCATCCCAAAAGCTCAGAGCAACTGAAAGAGAGTTAAAAATAGTTCTTTTATTAATTAGATTGAGAATCAGATGGCTGACATAAGGGTAAGTATGTTGGATTTGGGTTTGCAGCCGTTTGTGGAAGGGAGGGGTGATAGCAGGACTGAGTATATACAACATTTTATTCTAGAATGAATGGAGATGGAGTACTTTTTCTTTGTATGCACACAGAACTGAGATCTACTGCATTTTTTTTAACCCTGAGAAGTGGTTCTTGAGAAACTGGTTCTGTTCCATTAACAAAAGCTAATTGCAGATTGATTCTGCATTACTCTGCAGTGTGTTGATATGAAAACACATGAAGGTGGTTCCAGCAAGTGTGTGTGTATCCACACCTGCCCAGTGATGTTGTTGGTGGGTGTATAGCAAGATCACATGACCGCCACCCTCCCATGAGAAAAAATGGGATGCCCCAGTTTTTCCAGGACACTTGTGAGTTACTCAGTACTCCTCTTTGTATACCTTCTCTGTATATGCATGCTTCTGTTTGCCCCATGATTCACTTGTGAAAATGGCTGGAAAGATCTGTAGGCTAGTATACCACCTCAAATTTCACCATTTTACTCTTGCCATTATCTGGATTACTGGGGTTGCAAATTGAACCCCCCCCCCCGCCCCAGAAACAAGAAATACAGAAATGAGTGTGAAACTTCCATTGTATTCCACTAGATTTACAAAAGTAGTTTTTACATCATTACATGTGAAAACTAAACTGTGTTGTGAAAATTAACAGTTAGGGAAATGTCAGGGAAACAAAAGAAACTGCTGTGTGAATGCAGCCTTAGTCTACAGAGAAATCCTACACATGTTTATTGATAAGCATGCCCATTTGTAAGTATGTTTCGGATTGCAGCCCAAGGCCTTTTTTCATTACTCTGGCAGGCACTGGGCCTGATAGGTTGATAAGTTTGTTGGCAGACTGATCCTTGTTTCATACACTCCTCCTGTCTCTTGTTTTTACGGATTTATTGCATTGCTAATGTTTTGCGAATGTTTTCCTTTTTTAAAAAAAAGTTAGCTGCTCTGAGCATTGTGACTGACTACTATAGAAGAGCGGGAAGATAAATCTGCTGACATACATACATACATAAACATTGTGAGAGTTCAAGAGTCACACCTTGCTCATCACAATAAGAGAGATAATGGATCTTCATGTTACAATCGAAGAGCAAGAAAGAGCCACACCTGTGTTGACAGACTTTTTTTTAATGCTGTTTCACTTCTTTGCCCCTCAAAAAGAAGTAGTATAAAATGTGCATTTTATAAAGGGAAATGCTCTGACAAGGAGACAGAAGGTATACAGTGGTACCTTGGTGTAAGTACAGCCCTGTTTACAAACTATTCAGTTTACGAAGTCCACAAAACCGGAAGTAGTGTCCCGGTTTGCAAACTTTACCTCAGTCTGCAAATGGAAGCCGAACGGTGGAAGGGCACCGGTGGTGGAAGGCCTCATTAGGGAAAGCACGCCTCGGTTTAAGAACAGTTTCGGTTTAAGAACGGACTTCCGGAATGGATTAAGTTCATAAACCGAGGTACCACTGTATATCTACAAATGTGTACTTTTGGGGAAAAGGTCATACAATGTCAATGTTTTGTTTTAGTTGTTTTAATTGTGGAAGGAATTGACAAAACTGATACGCAATGGAAAGGTATCAATCCATCCATCCATTCATGTACTCCTAGTGAGCAGGATAATATGAGAGATTGCCTTTTGGTTAAAAAATAAAAGGTAAACGACCCTGACAGTTAAGTCCAGTCACGAACGACTCTGGGGTTGCAGTGCTCATCTTGCTTTACTGGCCGAGGGGGCCGACGTTTGTCTGCAGACAATTTTTCTGGGTCATGTGGCCAGCATGACTAAGCTGCTTCTGGCGAAACTAGAGCAGCTTATGGAAACGTTTACCTTCCCGCCGGAGTGGTACCTATGGGCCCAAATAATTGAAGGTTGATGGCAGGGATGGGGAACCTCCATTTCTCTCTGCCTGGCTCTTGGGACTCTACCTAGGCCACACTCCCCACTTGGACCACACTCCCCCCCCACACCATATCCCCCTTGGTGCTTCTCCACATTCTCCTTAGGTGCTGCCTGACATGTGTCCTTGAGATATGACAATGCCTCTGTCACGGTCTGGTTCACAGGTGACTGAAGTCACAGCAGGGGACGTCAGGACCGGGGGCAAGATGGCGGGGTGGGAGCAGGAACAGGGGGTCCAAAAGCCAGGAGTCAGGAAGCCAAAAGTCCGAGGGTCAGAGAGCCAGGAGTCAAGAAGTCAAGGGTCCGAGGATCAAGAAGCAAGGAGTGAAGGAGCCAAACGCAGCAAGGCAGGGAACATGTTGCTGTGGCAAAGAGCCGAAGGGAAATGCTGACCTCATATCCCTTCCCAGCTCTTGCCACCAGGTGCTGTGAGCTACCAATCAGCCTCACCTGTGAGGCCACGCCTTGCCTCATCAGAACAAATTTAGGAAGGCCCCAGTCTTGCAAAGTCCTATTGTTCATAGGACCTGGCTCCTACACGCACACCTGACAGCCTCTTGCTTGCCTGGATGGAGGATGGGGAGTATTGTGTGTTGGTGTAAAAACCTCTGACCATTGCATGACTGGAATGTATCCAATCTTTTCTTCCACCCAATTTTGTCTCTTGCCTCATCCACCACTGGCACGATATGGCCTTCAGCTGAAACGGGTTTTTCCCCAAGCCTGCTTTCAGGGTAACGAGCAACACCTTGAATTGTTTTGAGGATGGAACTGGAAGTCAATTCAGCTTTTGTAAAATACGTGCCATGTGATCCCAAAAGGTGCGCACCTGTCAAGATTCTTGCTCTCCCATTATCCCCAAGGCAGAGAGTTGCCACATTGGAGATTGCACAAAAAGCACAAGAAAGAGGGGGCACAATCACACTTGTGCATTTTCACATGGTGGAAACTGGAATGTCCATGAAGCCCTCATTGGCTGACAGGAACTGAACATCCCTTGAGTCAGGATAGTAGCACCTCCTCTTCACTTTGGTTTGATGCACCAAAGCGAAACCTCAGCCCAATAAATCGATGCATTCCAGCATCCTCTGTTGATGTTCCCCTCTCCATCGCATTTCCTAGCTTCTCTTTTTCTCCTTCAGAAGGCAGTACTGTTGCATCGTTACCACAACATCTGGCCCATCAAAATGATTCCAGAAACAGGCAAAACTGGAATGATTTTGAAAGTTGTATTTAGTTACACACACACACACACACACACACACACACACACACACACACACGTAGCATACTCAGTTTTACTGGCATTGTTTCATTGTTATGACCACTAAATGCTTGGAGGCTGCTCTCTCCACAGACTTGATTTTATTTCCCAGGCTCATGTAACCCACACATGCTATATTAATTCAACTAGCCATTTTCTGCAAGCTCATTTTACTACTTCTTATTTTTGCCCTGCCCTCTGAAGCCTTAAGATAACTTTGTAGGTGGCCAATGACAACTCTGGGTCAGGGCCTCAGAGTCATGATCCAGTAGCCATGGGGTTGGGATCCTTAGTCCTGGAGGCTGAATCTATGATGCCTCTAAGCCTCTCTATGATGCCCTCAGGACATTTGTGCCCCAAATCTAAGGTTTCCCAGCTGACCGATCAATACGTTTTCAGGGCTTCTGGCTCCAGACATCTCCCTGGTATCTGCTTCAAACTTAATCAGGGTGCAGTATGGACTCTATAGTTGGAGAATATAGGCTCAAAGTCCACATATGGGCATGCTTGACTTTGTTTCTCCTTGCTAAAGAAAGATAGCTGGAGACTTATGGACAGGATCCGTGGTGGTCAGAACATTCCATATAGATTATGTTCCTAGGCTTCGAGAACCCTGTAATTGAGAATAAACAGAAAGAAAAATTGTCAAGGACAGGACAGGAATGGGGCATATGTTAAATGGATGCATTTTTAAGAAACAAAAAACACAAACACAACTTTTTTTTCTTTTTTTCTTGTAATCTGCTCAGAAAAACATGGGGGGGGTCACACAAACACATGTTTGAAACTATATATAATCACTTAAAGTTTAGTTACTGAAGAGAACATGATTCTGTATGCTCACCCAAGTCTGACTGAAGATTGCTACAACTTTTTCTTTCTTAAGTTTATAATCCTCTGTTGCACCAAGGAGAAAATGGAAATACCTAGGTAGTTTGAAAAATACCCAGTTCAGATGATAATAGTCTGGCTCATGGAACTGAGGCAGCAACCAGCCCCCAGCTCCTCTGATTCCACAAGGACCACACATCCAATGACCATTTATGCATTAATTTTGCATTGAACTAAGTGCCACATCTGATAGCCATTCTCTGTTCTTTGTATATTCTGGTTATTTCCATCATGCCCTGTTTGTGACTCAAGGTCCCATAATCACAGCTTTGCTTTTCATCTGAATCAGGAAGATATTTCTTATGTTCTTCTCTCACGGTCCTTGATGAGGAACCTGTGGTCCTCCAAGAGTTCTTGAACTACAACTCCCATGATCCTTGACCATAGGCAGTGTTGCCTGGGGCTGATGGGAGTTGTAGTCCAATATTGATTCAGAGAGCCACAGGTTCCACATCCTTGCCATAGTGGAATAGTTTCCAGTTCAGTCGAATTAGCACCAGAAGCTTCAAGGTCAAGTACGGCCTTTTCAGCCACCCAAAATTGCTGGTATGGGGGACAGAAGAAGACCCCCAAAAGGACATCAAATCCTCTAGTGTTTACAACACTTAGAAGAAATATCTTGGTTCTAGGTGATTAAATACATTCATGTGTCCTTCAGCAGAGATGACTGGGGGGAATGAGGCATATCTGAGAGTCTAGTGGCCTGGGAGCTGAATCAACATTAAATGTCAAGGCATGGTAGACCTATTACTGAATTTGGGCTAAAGGGAAATTTCAGGGGAATTTGGAAGTTCTTATTTGAAGAAGGGACCTGAAGAACTGCAAAGGAAAAACCAAGAATGTTTAAATCCCCCCCCCAGGGGTTTCACGTTCTCTACACTGGCATCCACACAGTTTTGTGTGCATCAGTTATTATTAAGCACTTTATTGTAAGAGATTCTCTTGCACATCTAAAACTAAAGAGATCTAGTTTTACAGCTGATTCAGAAATTCCCACACAAGCTGTGAAGTGATGCATTTTAAATTCCCGACTTGCAACAATCTGTAGTTAGAATCCAGATGATCTCTCAGAAGTTCTAGGGTCTATAGTTGTGGTTATTCCAGCCCTATATCATTTCCTCCGAGCTGCTCCCATTGTCAAAATTGTTAATAAATATAACTTCCACTTCAAAGGATCGACTCATAGGCCATTTAGCAAGTTGACTGTCTTAACAGTCTCCATTTTCTAGATTCATGTTTGAACCACATGCTGATGGGGCTCTTAAGCCCTCCACCATATTTCTCCTGTTGTAATTAGATGGCTTTAAGGACTTCAGTGAACAAAGGTTTGCTTGATAGAGAACTGAAATATAAAAATTCACCCTTTTAAAATTCTTATAGCCTTAAAAAAAATGTATAGCCGTGCATTGTAGGACTACATATAGCTCATATGAAAACTAATTATCTACAATGCTACAAGGGTAAAATAATATTGTTTTAACATTTGTACTCTGAGGCTGCCCATGCCTTTCAATGTAAAGATGATTTCTTGGAAAAGTGATTAGAATATTAAATCTCAATAAAAGGAGGCATTAGCTGATGATCTCGTCATTATGTTGAGTACCCATCGATTCACCCCAGCACTCCTAGTGATTTCACAAAGGCTATTATCTCATGGCTATATCCCTATCTTTAGAGCTTATTACGTTAAATAAAAGATGTTAATAGTTTCTGAGAATCCCACGAGGCACAGAGAATTTGTAAGTCAAAGAAGAGTCGCCTCCGAATTTCAAAGCTTCCATTAAACTTTCTGACAAATGCTTGAAACTCTCAGTGGATTAGTACTAAATCAAAGTAAATTTTAGGCTCACTTTGTATGGTGATAACCAGGTGGGCATGTTTTATTATGACTATTTATTAAATTAGAGATTTCTTATGGCCGCACATCAGGCCTGAATGTACGGGTGATGGTTTTCATTCCGAAACTAAACAGTGGCAAAGAGCCACTAAGTTGATGGACACTTTTGAAACAGAAGGACGGGGAGTTAGACAGATGCTATCATTAGGCCTGTCCAAAACATTCACACTGTCTGTACTATAAGAAAGTGATTACCTCCTGGTACTCACTTTCATGGCAAATCCGATGCAACAAGAATGCGAAACTTGTGACCCTCCAGATATCATTGGACTACAACTCCTATCATCCCTGACCGTTGGCCATGCTGGTTGGGGTTGGTGGGAGTTGTAGTCTAACAACACCTAGAGCTCTGTCCTGCCTGTAAGCCATCATTTTATGCTCATCTAATGAACCTTGCATCCCAGTATACATGCATGCACTGGACCCCCAATGCATCATTCTTCTTTTCTTCCTTTCCATTTCCTTGGAAAGAATCATCAGAAGCCTGGAAGCTTGTAGAATGGCAAGAAAGCGACAGCTTCATGGTTGTTTGCTGTGCCAATTACTGTATTTTTTTGTGTATAAGACTAAGGTTTTTTTTAACCAAAAAGTTAGGTTTAAAATTGGGGCTCGTCTTATAAACCAGTAGTGCTGAGGGGTGTTTTCTTAATTTGGAGTCCCCCAAAATAGGGGGCGTCTTATACATGGGAGTGCCTTATACACAGAAAAATATGGTACGTCATGGAAGGTAAGAGATAAACCTCCTCTCCTATGACAATACTTTCCCAGCCTTCAAACAGGACTCAGACATAGATGGAGAGGAGCCAACTGGTTTGCAAAAGTGATAGAAACACTGGGGTACGTCCTCAAGGGCAAGAAAGAACCAGATAGCCAGAAAATTTTGGAACCTCAACTGGGACATCCAGAGGAACCAGGACTATCCTTTCTACAGAGTTCACATTAAACATACCCTGCGTACCAACATGGGCAGCACACCAGGTGGGGGTTGATAGGCAACAAGGTGCTCACTTCAAGACCCAAGGGCCAGCACCCACTGAGAGCTTTCCACTCCTCAGCGAAGGGTGTAGAACCTGAGAAGGATAATCAGGACCAAGAGAAACAAAAGAGCAGAGTTGGAGTTGAAACACCATCGCAACAGGTGGTCATCTCCTTGTGACCACTCCAGGGTCCCATGCTTTCTGAACATCCTTGCACCTCAACTATATGACTGGATATACAGGATATACAGAAGCCATCTCAGGATTCTGGACTGTTTGGCTTTTCCTTAGGATGTCCCTATTTTCATTGGAGAACTGTTGGAGGGTCTGGTAGGACATCCCTATTTTGATCAGAGAAATGTTGGAGGGTATGGAGTTGTGTGGCCCCTGAGCCTAGGAGATAAGTAACTATATGACCTTTGGAAGACATCTGAAAGCAGCCCTGTATAGGGAAGGTTTTTCAATGTTTAATGTTTTAATGTGTGTGTGCGTGTCTCTGTGTTGGAAGCTGCCCAGAGTAGCTGGGGCAACCCAGTCAGGTGGGCAGGGTATAAATAATAAATTTGTTGTTTTTATTATCATATTATTTAATGGGACGTCCTTATTTTCACCAGAGAAGTATTGGAGAGTATATATGAGGCAACACCTCTAATGGAGTATGTTCAACTCTGGAAGCAGGGCAGCCATGAAGGCTGCAAAGCTCTCTTGGTGGGGTGGGTGTGTGGGAATGATGCAAAGAAAAACCACTCCTCTCCTGACGATAAGGTGAGCTCAACCTTGAAGCCACTAGCATGACTTGTGGGCCAGATAGAGAAGCCTGAGGTTCCTGGCACTTACTAAAAGGCATTAGAGCAGATAACTGTTTGTGGCTTAGAGGCAATGACTTGTCAGTGATAAGCTTCAGTCTGAACTGCTAGTGCAAACCACTCTCCACTACTCCAGTGAATAAGCTTGTGCTAGAATGGAATTCCTGGGTGAGACGGTCATCCAGCTTACTCAATTCAAGCCCTTAACTCAAGTTCCTGTTGGGACTTCACAGCGCAGTTGCTTTCTTTCATGCTAGATTTGTCTGAGTGACCTTATTATGAAAAGGGGATTTTATATCTCAGCGCCTATTACAGATTTTTCTTTTTTTATTTGTCACAATGAAAACATTTCATTAAGGAGGGTTATTGAATGGCTGAACATGAATCTTGAGATTGAATAAAATTCATTTATCCAATCAGCTTGAGACGAAACTAAGAATGCATGGAGAGTGGCAGGAGCGATAAAATGCTTGGTGTACCGCTTGGAGCTGGGTGGTGAAATGGGATGCAGGGGAGGGCCATAGCTCAGTGCTAGAGCATCTGCTTTGCATGCAGAAGGTCTCATGTTCAATCCCCAGCAACTCCAGGAAGGGCTAGAGTAGGCTTCTGCCTGAAACCTTGAAGTGCTTGCTGCTAATGTCAGTAATACCGGGGTTGTTGTTGTTGTTTAGTCATTTAGTCGTGTCCAACTCTTCGTGACCCCATGGACCAGAGCACGCCAGGCACTCCTGTCTTCCACTGCCTCTGCAGTTTGGTCAAACTCATGCTGGTAGCTTTGAGAACACTGTCCAGCCATCTCGTCCTCTGTCGTCCCCTTCTCCTTGTGCCCTCCATCTTTCCCAACATCAGGGTCTTTTCCAGGGAGTCTTCTCTTCTCATGAGGTGGCCAAAATATTGGAGTCTCAGATGGACCTATAGTTTGAACCAGTACCAGCTAAGCTTCCTATGTTCCTACATTAGTGTTGCTTGCGCTAACTCAGCAAAAGTCCCATCAGAAACACCAAAAGTTGTACAACAGTAATGCTGTGTGAATTGTTCCCAACGTCTTTAAGAAAGAAAGAAAGAAACAAGTCACTTTTATTATTTTTTAAAGAAATCATTCTATAAAGCCTGTGGATTTTTGAAACACTCCGAGGGTTTTTGAGTTACCGAAAATGTGAGGGGCAATCTCATACAATATAAGTTTACAAAACACACACACACACACACACACACACACACTTATGCATGCCCTGCTCTGATGCTTAAGTCTGCTGCTGATTAAATATACACACAAATGCAAAAGGCAATCACTCAAACAAATCACATTTGCTCTGCTGCCAGAATATAAACCAAAATTATCAGGGGGGGAAAATGGAGAGTCTGATACCGCCTGAACGGAAAGCATTACTTTACAGTCCTGTAATATGATCAGGGCCTGAAACAAGCACCAGATTAACAGATTTGAGACTAAACTCTTCTGCATATTCGGGACACGTGTTAAATAGGATATTCCCCACGCCAAAGCTATGCAGGAGAACTGAATTATCCAGCCTGTTGTGAAGTGAAAATGCCATAGTTTAAAGCACTCTTATACCACGTGAATAGTCATGGATTCTTTCAAAGAATCTGGGGAACTGTAGCCCTGCGAGGCTACTCTCAGTCTCCTTAACAAACTGCAGGATTCTCTGGAGGCAGCATGGTTGTGCCAGGAACATGAGTAACTTGTGCCTATATTGCCGTTCTGTTCTCTGGAAATCTATCATTGCAGTGTCTACTACACCAGTGGCCAAAGCCCACTAGGGGAAGGGCGGTGGCTCAGTGGTAGATCAGCTCCTTTACATGCAAAAGATCCCAATTTCAATCCCTGGCATCTCCAGGGATACCAGGGATTGAAAGACTCCTGGTCTGAAACCCTGAAAAAGAACTGCCCATCAGTTACAGACAATACTGAACCGGGTGGACCAAAGGTCTGACTTGAGATAAGGCAGCTTCCTATGTTCCTTGGGGGAGAAAGTGTATCTCAGTGGTGAGTCACATCCTCTGCATGCATGACGTCCCAGGCATATCTGATTTAAAGGATCAGAAATCTGGGGAGGAGAAAGCAGAACCTCTAAGTGTCCCTATTTTCGCGGGGCAGTCCTGGATTTACAGAAGCCTTCCCAGTTTCTGATTTGATCCCAGAATGTCCCATTTTTCCTTAAAAGGTAAAGGGACCCCTGACCATTAAGTCCAGTTGTAGCTGACTCTGGGGTTGCGGCACTCATCTCGCTTTAATGGCCGAGGGAGCCGGCGTACAGCTTCCGGGTCATGTGGCCAGCATGACTAAGCCGCTTCTGACGAACCAGAGCAGCACCCAGAAACACTGTTTACCTTCCCGCCAGAGTGGTAGCTATTTATCTACTTGCACTTTGACGTGCTTTCGAACTGCTAGGTTGGCAGGAGCAGGGACTGAGCCAGAACCACCAACCTTCTGATTGGCAAGTCCTAGGCTCTGTGGTTTAACCCACAGCGCCACCCACATTCCTTAGGATGTCCCTATTTCCATCTGAGAAATGTTGGAGGGTATAGAGTCCTGCAACCCTCAAGCCAAGGAGATAAGTAACTCTACAATCTTTAGAAGGCATCTGAATGCAGCTCTGTATAGGGAAGCTGTTTAATGTTTTATTATGTTTTCATATATGTTGGAAGCCGCCCAGAGTGGCTGGGACAACACAGTCAGATGCGCGGGCTATAATCATCATCATTGAAGAAAAATAGGATGTCCCTATTTTCATCGGAAAAATGTTGGAGGGCCTGGGAAAGACAGTTGTCTGAGCCTATGCAGAGCGGGAGGCAGTGGAAGACAGAAGTGCCTGGCGTGCTCTGGTCCATGGGGTCACAAAGAGTCGGACACGACTAAACAACAATGCAGAGCTGCTGGCAGGCCAAGCTAGTGGTCTTGGCGTAAGGCAATTCCTGACAGCCTAACCGAAATAATCCTTTGTCTATGCTTTACTAGGCAAATGTTACAGAAAGGACAACCTCACCACATATTCAAAACGAGCACATGCTAAACTGAAGCCAGCCTTGAGTGTGTTCTCATTAGTCTTTTCTTTTCAAAGTGAGTGCAGAACAGAAAGCTTCAAACAATCATTTCCAGCACCCAAACCTTGAACGCCGAAATATTGTCAAGGCGCTGCTAAGCTTGGGCTCTTAATTAAACGTCTCTCTTTTTTAAAAAAATAATAATAATGAAATAAATAAATCTCATTTTTAAAGAGAATGCTTTAACCTCCAATAACATTCTGACCACACTGAAATGAAGCGCAGAGCGCATTTTCACCTCACGGAAAAGAGCCTGCAGGATAATAAAAAAATAAAAAAATTCTGGGATAACGGCTGGCAATAAAAAATATTGTGATTTTCATTATACCATGCTCATTTATCACAGGGGGAGAGAGAGAGAGAAATGCAAGGATGAGATCTTCCATGCAAGTTCAGACACATGCCCTTGAGAGCTGAAGAATGACTTTACTATGCAATTCCAAATGCTAATATCCCCACAGGAGCGCAGTTCCAACAGAGGAACCAGCCACACTATACAGCCATCATATTCACGTCAGTGAGCGAACACCATGCATCAATGTGGTTTGATAGTGTGATTTGCTCCTTTTGGAGCTAACACTGCATAGCCAGCAACAAAGGAAATGGGAACTTTAAGCTTTTGGCCCTATCTGTTGCGAAGGGAGAGGAATCCGCTTTCCCAAAGAATTATCGTAGAATTAAATGATGTACAACTACACATTAGCATCTAAGTCTCATATCTTCAGCGGAAATCCAATTCAACTTGCATTGTTGGGCAACCATGTCTGACACAGGGGAGCTTGCTAACCTCGGCCTCTGTTTGTTTCCAATTCTAATCTGAGCTAGGTGCAAAGCTGAAAAATAGAGGGAGGATTTTTGTGCAGTGAAGATACTGTTTTGGTATCTGGAAATCCAGTGATGTTTGGCTCTGAAAAAGGCCCATAATGCTAAAGGTGTGTGTGTGTGGGGGGGTGTTATTCTGCTTGCATTTTTTCTTCTTCCAGAGTTGGACATTTAACTCTGCAGTCCTGGGACTTACTTCTGAGTATATTTATATAGGGTTGGGCTTTCATTTGGTTCAGTTAAATAAAAACCCAAGTAAGACTTCAGTTGATTATCTGGGAGGAGCCTCATACATGCAACGAAATGTTAATCAGTGGGAATAGTAACATGCTTGTTTTTTAAGGCTGTTCTGGTTCAGATCTGCTGCAGGAACAGGAAACAGGGGCGGGGGGAACACAACAGTGAAGAAGTCTTTTGTTTCCAGCAGTTGCACAGTTTTTCTGTATTAAATGTAGGTTGCCTTACACTTTTTTTTTTCTGTCAGGAAGCAAACAGAAAAAGGAGGCAGCTATATTGAGGCATGGGCAATATGCAAATTTAGATAAATTGACAACCTGATGTTGTGCATGTATGTCCCACTGAGATAGAAAGTGTTTACTTCCTTGCAGATCATGGAATTATACTGTAGAATTGGAAGGGTTATCAGGCCCAACCCCCTGCAATTAAGCAAAATTGCATACAAAAATGCGCATAAGGAGAAAATCACACTAAAATCTTGCTGAAATTTCATGATGACTTTTTCTTTAGGGAAACAAACAAATCACAACCTGATGTGAAAAAGTCAAGAACTAACCTTGAGGTCAGAAAAATGAGAAACAGAAGTTAACCAAAATGACAGCTTTGTCTACCTCTGCTCAGAACTGAGCAGGGGAATGGACAACTGGCAGGGCAATAATAGCACCAGGTGAGTCTCTTTGGGAAGAGCATTCCACAAATGGGGAGCCACTGCAGAAAAATCCTGCCAACTTAGCAGTTTGAAAGCACACCAGTGCAAGTAGATAAATAGGTACCACTGCGAGAGGAAGGTAAACGGCGTTTCTGTGCTTCCTGGTTTCTGTCATGTTGTTCCGTTGCGCCAGAAGCAGTTTGGTCATGCTGGCCACATGATCCGGAAAGCTGTCTGAGAACAAACGCCGGCTCCCTTGGCCTGAAAGCGAGATGAGTGCCGCGACACCGTAGTCACCTTTGACTGGACTTAACCATCCAGGGGTCCTTTACCTTTTACCTTTTTTACTGCAGAAAAACCCTGATCTCCTGTTGCCACCCTCAAGACTTCTTCTGAAGGAGGCACGTGAAGAAGGGCCTCATATGATGATCAATAGGTCTGCATTGGTTCGTATGGGGAAACGCACTCTTTGAGGTATTGCGAACTGGGACCGTTTAAGGCTTTGTAAGTCAAAACCAGCAATTTGAATTGAGCCCAGAAACTAATCGGCAGCCATTGGAAATGTAACGAGACTGAAGGCACATTCTTTCACCTTTGGTGGACATGCCCAAGGATTAAGACATTCTGGGAGATGATTTATAACGAAATGAAAAAGGTATTTAAATATACCTTTCTGAAGAAACCAGAGGCCTTTCTCCTGGGCATGGTCGGCCAATTGGTGCCAAAGAAGGATAGAACTTTTTTTATGTATGCAACAACAGCAGCAAGAATACTCATTGCGAAGTATTGGAAGACACAAGATTTACCCACCCAGGAAGAATGGCAGATGAAGTTTATGGACTATATGGAATTGTCGGAAATGACTGGCAGAATCCAAGACCAGGGAGAAGAGTCAGTGGAAGAAGATTGGAAAAAATTTAAAGATTATTTACAGAAATATTGTAAAATTAATGAATGTTGGAATGTTGGAATGTTGGAAAAATGTTGGAATGAAGTTACATGGCTTTAGTAGAAATGTTATAAGGAATTAAGTATAAATAGATTAATAGAGTATTAAAGGAAAAAATAAGGTTAGAATGAGTTAAGATAATTATAGGATAGAAAACAGAGGTAGATGGAAAGGAATTGCTGAAATAATTAACAGAAGTGGAATACAAAAGGGAGGTGTGAGGAGGTCGAGGAAATAAGTGAATGAAAGATGGGATAATGAAATTTGATTTATTTTATTGTTGTTGCATTGTTTTGTTAGTTTAATGTATTGTATTGTATGTGTTTTTTCTTTTCTTTTAGTGTTTAAATTTTTTGGAAAAGTAATAAATATTATTTTTTTAAAAAGGAAAAAAAAAGAAACTAATCGGCAGCCAGTGCAGTCAGGCCAGGATTGAGCTGGGATAGCTCAGTCAATGGAGCACGAGGCTCTTGATCTCAGGGGTGTGGGTTTGAGCCCCATGTTAAGCGGAAGATTCCTTGGACTAGATGATGCTTGTGGTCCCTTCCAACTCTATGATTCTATAGTGCAGGCTTCCTCAACCTTCACCCTCCAGATGTTTGACACTACAATTCCCAGCATCCCTGACCACTGGTCCTGCTAGCTAGGGATCATGAGAGTTGTAGGCCAAAAACATTTGGAGGGCTGAGGTTGAGGAAGCCTGCTATAGTGTAATATGCTCAAACTGTTTTGCCCCAGCGAGCAACATGGCTGCTGAATTCTGTACCAACTGAAGTTTCTGACCCAGTCGTTCATTATTGTAGCTTGATTCACAATCCCGGCAAGCTGAAATCTTCCTGTGCGAGTACAGCTAGATGGCTTGAGGTTGCAATCGTTTCAAAAGCTTGGGCTTCTCTAGGCTGTGGCTTGCACCAAGATTTTTCCATTTATCTTGTGTCCTCATTAGACGAAGAGTTTTAGATGTTCCCCAGGCCACTCAGAGAAATGAAGTTTCTGCTGAAACAAAGAAATAAAACATACCGGCGATCTAAGTGAATGGAAGCTAATAAAACAGAACGCAGGAAGGCAGTCGTTTGTTTCTTGCTAAATTGAGGAAAGCCAGCAGAGATTATTGGGTTAATTTCTGGGCATCTTATTACCAGAATGATATTAAGAGATTGGAGAGAGTTTCAAGCAGTGGTTAGAGGGCTAAAGAGATTGATTTATAATGAAAGGTTAACAGGAATATGCACAGCACTCAACTGAGGTGGGGATGTAATAACCAGCTACTGATGTGATAATAACTGACTACTTAGTTAAAAACAGAAGTATGAGTGTCACAAAGAGCCAGAGAAGGACAGAGCATTTTTACAGGGGCAGATTCCTAGCCGTTGACTGCAATAAACCCTCTCAATGCTCCATTCTTTGGCTTCTAATTCTGACAAAGGTCACATCCCCCCCCATACATTTAAAGCAAGTGGCTTCCCTCAAAGAATCCTAGGCACTTCATTTTGTTAAAAGTTGCTGGGAGTTGTAGCTCTGGGAGGGGTAAACTACAGTTCTCATTATTTTTTGGGGAGACTATGTGCTTTAAATATATGGTGCGGATGTGACCGAAGAGAGTACGAAGGCAAGAGGCACACATAGCAAGAGATTTGGGTGACTGGTGTGGAATCTACACACATAAAAAAACCGTTCTGAAAATCCTTTTTTAAAAAAAGCGTTTTTAAAGAATGCATTGAATTTTCCATAAGGCTCACCATCGCCATCTAGTGTCACATTGTATATTGCACTTAAAACACACTTGAAACGTTTTATTTGCAGCTGTATAGATAGCTGAGTCCTAGGGAACTCATAGCTTTTGTTTTCTCTTTACAACTCCTTCTGAAAGTGATGGAATGCCATCGGGTGAGATCTGCTCTTTCCAATCAAAGTGTGAGGTGCTGCTGGACAATGTTTCTTAAAACTTTTAAAAATAACAATAATAAAGCATTTTATAAAGACAGAGGCAAGCAGAACTGGACCCCCAGGAACAACTCACAAGTACTTTTAATTTTTAAAATTTGAATCCCCACTTGGATTTTTTCCCTTTTAAAACCCAACATGTCTCATCCCTGTGTGGAACTGAGAATGAACCAGATTCTGATACGAGTCATCCATCCTCAGACACAAGTCACCTGCCCACTGTGCTTTCCACAAGAGTGAGATGTCCAGTACAAATTGCATCATTGGAGAGCTGTACTGAAACATTCAGAAGAATAGCTTTGGTTCACCTATGATTTCAGAAAGTGTCAATTCGGCTGCCCTGATTAAAATATGAACTGAACTGAATTTCTCCCCAGCCCTAAGATTAATCTAATAAGGAAATACACAAATAAATAACAAAACAGCAAAGAGGCAGTCAGTGTCGATATGGAGTGAGATTTCCAACCTTTGCTCAGGAGAAAAGGTTGCCTCACTATACATATTTCCACAGATCACGGCAAGGTCACTTAAGGAAAATTGCCGACTCAACCACACAATCACGGGTGGGCAACTGTGTTTATGCCGAAGCAGATTTGTGGACTGAAAATATTCTTTTCTTCTTTCAGCAAATTACAGGACACAGTTGAAGCTGAAATAAAAGTTGGGGTGGAAATGAAGAAACTTAATTGCCTGAAAGTAGATGCAAGGAGCAATGAAATGGCATGTTTCTATTGTATACAAAAGACTTGGCACAGAGAGTGGAAGGACAGCTGGGTGAATGTATGCTAACATCATTCATTTGCAGGATTTTTGGGGGAGTTCAAAACCAGCAGCAATTTTTTAATTTTCTCTCTGTCAATCTGTCTTTCTATATTGCCATTATCTATCCTGAGAGGAATGTCAATTTTCTTTTCTTCTTCTTCTACAGAATAGGAAAATGACTCCATAACAATGTATATCTAAATGGAGAATCCTTCACTTTGTGATCAAAACTTTTTGCATTGAACGGGACATATTTTTGGCATTAGCCAACTCATCTTTACTCAGAAGCAAGTCCAAGTGAAAATTGATCTATGCATTTATGCAGAATAAGATGGTAGACGGAGATGGAAAACTTCTGACTGCTACAGAATGGAAAGGGTATGTGTTATATTTTGAACAAGAGCAGAGACAGGATTTCTCAGACTACGTTTTTCTGAAAAGATGTCTGAGATTTCTTTTCCTTTTCCTTATCCCGCTCCATGCAAAAAGGGGGTCACTTTGCAGAATTCGCTCTAAACATTGCCCACACACATCCCCGATGGCGGTCACCATTCTCCCTCCTCCCTGAAGAACAGGCTCTGATGTTGCAGCTGCATCCCATTCATTTGCCTAACCTGCTGCTTTAGTTAAAGAGACCAGGCCATCGCAGTTGTATCCTGCTTCTCAACCTTGGGTCCCCAGATGTTGTTGGACTACAACTCCCACCATCCCTGATCTCTGGCCTTGCTAGCTGGGGGTGATGGGAATTGTAGTTCAACAACATCTGGGGACCCAAAGTTGAGAAATGCTGCTATAGATGCATATAGAATTTGTAAAATCCAGAGCAAACTTAGGGACCAAATTCCTGGGCCAAGATATATGTTGACTGGAGCCTAATTACTTATAGTGTGTGCGGTGCAGGGAACAACCACGCTTTTCTGAGGAGGGAGTTCCACAGTCATGGTGCCACTACTGAGAAAGCCATGCCTTGGACCACTGCCCCATGTCCACCAATAGAATTACAAGCAGGAACACCCCTGCTAATCTCAGAACATGGACCAGTAGGTACTGGGGGAAATGCTCTTGGGTCCTAAGCTATGTAGAGCTCTGTACAACATTAAAGACACTTTAGAGCCAGTGTGGTGTAGTGGTTAAGAGCGGTGGAGTCGTAATCTGGTGAACTGGGTTCGCATCTCCGCTCCTCCACATGCAGCTGCTGGGTGACCTTGGGCTAGTAACACTTCTTTGAAGTCTCTCAGCCCCACTCACTTCACAGAGTGTTTGTTGTGGGGGAGGAATGGAAAGGAGAATGTTAGCCGCTTTGAGACTCCTTAAGGGGAGTGAAAGGCGGGATATCAAGTCCAAACACTTCTTCTAAAGATGAAGCTGAGGCTCAAATACTTTGGCCACCTCATGAGAAGAGAAGACTCTCTGGAAAAACCGCTGATGTTGTGTAAGATTGAGGGCACAAGGAGAAGGGGACAACAGGTGGTTAGACAGTGTTATAGAAGTGACCAACACGAATTTGATGAAACTTCAGGAGACAGTGGAAGACAGGAGTGCCTGGCGTGCTCTGGTTCATGGGGTCACAAAGAATCAGACACGACTAATCGACTAAACTGTTGGGATACTGCCAGGGAGATAAAGTCCATCATGGCCCCCAAGCCGGCTGCCGGACGATCCATCGATCTCCCGTAGACACGCAGTATCAGCAATTAGCGACATGAGCTCCAGAACATTCTAGAGCCAATGCACACTCTTTATCAGCAGATAATGCACAGCAGAAGTCGCACTCAGGAGAGCATTATTTACAAGTTTTATTCAGCGTTGATCAGAACAAAGAAAAACATGACTGCCTGCATCAGTGTCTCCAGACACAGAGAGAGAAACGAAAGCAATAGAAAACATAAACATCCTGTGAACAGGAAATGCGCAGACTCTGTGACGCACGAAGCCTGCTCCCTTTTAAGGTGGAACGGAAATATCCTAACATAAACATCAACAACAACGGCACTATCAACACCTTGAAATATAGCAAGTGAGGTTTCCCCTATTGTCAGTGAGACATTTTCATTAAGCCTTCAAACCCCGATATATAAAATTAAAAGAATGGTCTTGCCCCAATCCAGGACCATTAGCAAGAGTCAAGTGGTCATGTCAGGCAGCCAATCCAGGAATATAGTGAGTGGCCTAATTGTCCATGAAACATTTCATCAAACATTTGACCATTTTCCTTACACACCTTTAGTCGCCAGGCAAAAAGGTTAACCAGACCTTTGGCTGATTGACATCCAATGCCCTTTTTAAAAGTGTTGGGGTTTTTTGGGGGGGTGGCTTTTGTTTTTGTTTTTATTATGTATTTTGTGTTTTTATATTGTGGGTATAGGGCAGTGCAAGGGCAGTGGGTGGCGCTGTGGTCTAAACCACTCAGCCTCTTGAGCTTGCCGATCAGAAGGTCAGTGGTTCAAATCGCTGCGACAGAGTGAGCTCCTGTTGCTCTGTCCCAGCTCCTGCCAACCTAGCAGTTCGAAAGCACACCAGTGCAAGTAGATAAATAGGTGCTGCTGCAGTGGGAAGGTAAATGGCGTTTCTGTGTGCTCTGGTTTCCGTCACGGTGTTCTGTTGCACCAGAAGCAGCTTAGTCATGCTGGCCACATGACCCGGAAAGCTGTCTGTGGACAAATGCTGGCTCCCTTGGCCTGCAAAGTGAGATGAGTGCCACAACCCCATAGTCGCCTTTGACTGGACTTAACCATCCAGGGGTCCTTTACCTTTTACTTTTTATATAAGTTTTAATAATAATAGCAGCAGCAGCAACAACAAC